TTCTGGCTCTGAATGATATAAGATATCATGTAAGATTATTTTTCCTTGTTCTAACCATTTGTCTTCAAATTCCTAATGTCATTTTTTAATATTTAAATAATACTACATTGTGAAATGTAGAATGTTTTATTAATCCATGTAGTGACTGAGCTGCTGGGCTGCATTCCTGCCGCCCGGCTCCTGGCTGCCTGCCTAGCTTATGCCCCAAAATAACAACACACAAATAGTATTCATTTAAACACTGCTTGACTCATTAGCTCTAGTCTCTTACTGGCTAACTCTAATATCTTGGTTTTAACACATATTTAGTAATCTGTGTAGCACCAGTCTTACCAGGAAAGATTCAGCATGTCTGACCTGGTGGCTTGCTTCATTGCATCTGCCCTGGAGAGGAGCAGCATGGCATCTGCTTCACTTCCTCCCAGCATTCTGTTCTGTTTTTCATGCCTACCTATGTTCTGACCTATCAGGTCATCAGTTTTCTTTATTAATCAACCAATGAAACAACAGATAGATAAAGACCATTCTACATCATATCCATTCTTCAGTTGAGGGACATCTAGTTTGTATCCATGTTCTGGCTACTACAAATAAAGTTGCTATGAACATAGTTGAGCAAGTGTCCTTACAGTATGATTAGGAATCCTTTGGGCATATGCCCAAGGGTTGTATCATTGGGTCTTGAGGAAGATTGATTGCAAATGGTCTGATAAAACACGTCATTGATTTACAAAGTGACTGTGTATAGTGATATTTTATTTATGTTTTAATAAGTAAAGCTTTCCCCTTTTTTCTCTTTGGATTTTCATTATTCAGCTACAACTATACAAAATTGCATTTCCAAATTACAGAGAATGAACAGCTTCTGTCCCAGGAGTGGTGTGGGACAATGGTCTGTTCTGTCAATTATATTTTAAATAAATGCTGAATGGCCAGAAGCCAGGCAGGAAGTATTGGCCAGACAACCAGACAGGATAAAGAGGTGGGTCAATAAGAACAGGAAAATTCTGGAAAGAAGTATGCCCATTCCTCACCAGTACTGTCCAGATACCAAAGAAGAAAGATGTGACCTACCCTGCTGAAAAAGTTACTGAGCCATATGGCTAACATAGATAAGAATAATGGGCTATGTAAGTTATAAGAGTTAATAAGAAGCATGAGCTAATGGGCCGATCAGTTTATAACTAATGGAGACCTCTGTGTGATTTTCTTTGAGGGTAAACAGCTGAGGGACCTGGTGCTAGGACAAAATTCAAAACGAACAGGCCCTCATGTTACAAGTGGCACCAACGTGTGGAAAAATGCATCCACATGTTACAAAAGAGCTTGGAAAGTAATTCTAGAGAGAAAAGAATAGAGTAAAGCATGGCTTATTGATTGCAGCAATTTCTCTGTTGGGTCTGCTTGCTAGAGCCAAGCACTCTCATTTAAAAAAGGCTTCCTGACTTAGCATTAGCTGCAAAACCTTGTACCTCTTTAAGAGGTACTGCCACAAACCACTTAAATAATGTTGATAAAAGCTGCCAGCATGTTTTTGGGTTTTAGCCATAGCAGGAAAACACCATGGTATTTTAAAATGCTAGCTTTCTGTGCCATTCTGCAGGGAAACTCCCTCTTTCAGGCAGGTGGTCTGACTATGGAGCATTTGAGGGTGGCTGGTGAGAATACTGCTGCAGCTGGTTTGTTGGAAGGGACCATGAAACATCATATAGTTGTGGCAATAAACATGGTTCAGCTGCAACCTCAGATATGAGGCCTAAATCTCAGATAGCTAAGAAATGGGTGGGATCTGGCCATCAAACCCACAGCTTAATACTTTCCATATTGCTTAGCAAATCAAGATTCATGTGGTCAGAAAAAGGGAAATATACATTAAAGAAAATTCAATGTTGAAGAAAACCTCTAAATGTTTTACATTATGTTAAAAATATATGTAGACTAAAGGTTAAAGTCCTTAAAATAAAAAAAAAAGAAAGAAAGAGTATTTGGGTGTGGTGGTACACACCCTTAATCTCAACACTTGGTAGACAGAGGTAGGCATACCTATGTGAATTCAAGGCATGGTGGCACAGTCTTTAATCCCAATGCTTTGAAGACAGAGGCAGACAGACTTCTGTGAGTTCACAGTGTGGTCACATAAACCTTTAATCCTAGCACTTTGGAGGCAGAGACAGGAAGGTATCTGTGAGTTTAAGGAAGCCTGGTCTACAGAGTTAGTTCCAGGCCGAAGATATACAGAGGACCTGTCTCAAAAATTAAAAGTAAAAATAAAATAATAGAAGTTAAATAATGTCACATAAAGATGGAAAATACACAGAGAGTCTGGATACTGTATGTTATCATGCTCTCTTTGAATTATTGAATGCTGAGGTCAGAGCAACAACTGCTAAAAGATATTTGTTTATAAGTGCTGGTAAATTAATCCAAGATAGGTATTTTGAAAATTCCTTGACATCAAAGTTGAAGTCAAAATGTATGTTACTTTGGAGAAGAGGATTGCTTTTGTTTCCACAAGAAATTAGAGGCTGTAGATTCATTCTGAGTTAAGAAAAATCAGCTTTCATCAACTAAGACTGCCTGAGAAATCTATGGAAGAAACAGATGGCCCAGATATCTGAGTTCTACATCCAGAACAGGTTCAAGACTGCTGTGTGAGATGATCAAGACTCACAGGATACTCCAGTCAGGACTTGATCAAAATCCTAAATTTTCCTCAGGTCACCAGAAGATTATCAGTGCCCCATTAGCAGTAAGTAGCCTGAAACAGTATGACAACATTCCCGAATAATGATCTATGGATATTTTCCTTTGTTTAAAAAATGAGAGGAGGAAGTGGTATGGGAAATCATCTGTATTCTGTAATTTACATTTTAAATAAACTCTCATTGGCCAGTAGCCAGGCAGGAAGTATAGGCTAACATCCAGATAGGAAGTAGAGGTGGGTCAATGAGAGCAGGAGAATTCTGGGAAGGAGGAAGACCATTCCTCACCAGTACTGTCCAGACACTGAAGAAGGAATATGTGACCTGCCCTGCTGAAAAAGGAACTGAGCCATGTGGCTAACATAGACCAGTATAATGGGCTATATATGTTATAAAAGTTGGTAAGAAGCCCGAGCTAATGGGCCAATAAGTTTATAACTTATGGAGCCTCTGTGTAATTTTCTTTGGGACTAAATGGATGAGGGAACTGGGCAGGAAAGAATCCCCAACAAGAAGACCCTCATGTTACAGAGAAGAGTCCTCCATCAGAGGCTCTATGTGTCTCTAGGGAAAGACCTACACAATGAAAGCAGAATTCTCAATTACTTCTTAGATTGGTGGATATTGAGATAGTATCTTAATGCATTATTTAGAATACAATGCACTGTGGGAATGAGTGCACCTAACAAATAAGCATTAAAATAAGAAAGATGTCAAACTGTCAATTTTTGACAAATGGACTTCATTCTACTATCTAAGGAGTAGATGGAGATGTTATGGTATAGGAAATTCTTATGTATTTGTGTTGCTTTCATTGGTTAAATAAAGGACTCCTTGATGTTTTGATAGGACAGCCCTTAGGTGGATGGAGAAGACAGAACAGAAGGATGGAAAGAAGAAAAAAATGTGGTAGACACTATGGAGCTCTGGCCTGAGATGGACATAGGTTAGAATCTTTCCTGGTAAGACACAACCTAGACCTTGTTGTGCTACACAGATTATTAAAAATTGGTTAGATCAAGATGTGAGAGTTGGTCAATAAGAGACTAAAAATAATGAGCCAGGCATTAATTAATAAAATTTCAATGTGGTTATTTCTGGTATAAGGTAACAGGGCAGTGGGATGTCTCCCTCTCCCTTCATACTATGGAGTGGCGCCCATTGTCAATAACTAATACCAAGTAAAACCTGAGTTCGGGTATATGCTAGACGGGCATCAGGATGTGGCCTGCTCCCTTCATACTACTATGTTATATAATCTAGTCTTAAATTTCAGAATCTGGAGGTAGAAACATACATACATACATTTACATACCCTGATATGCTCCTATATACATAGGTTAAATGGAAAAAATTAAAAAAAATATATTTCAAAGCATCATATATTTAGTACTTCTTCCAGTATTAGTGGACAGAATTAAAGCATTGTGCTTTCTTTTTAATCTATCTTGTAGTCTTTTAGATGACTCCCTCAAAGAAAATACTATTACCACATAATTTAGGTTCATGCTTCTTATTGATTTTCAGGTTAATCATTTTTTTTAATATTTCCATATTCCTATTCATTCTAACACAACTCTTGTGTCTGTCATGATTATCTGGTACTGAATGGATCTCGTTTTAACCATGCCTGATTTCTATCACTTAGAAAATGGTTGTCTGTGCTTGTAAAACCCTACCTTACCCCCATAAATACTCTCACTAAGGACATTATTTCATATATATATATATACATATATATATGTATATATATATATGAATCACATTAATATATTCTGAATCACATTGTGATTCTAAATCCCCTTGTGTGTCTTCTAGCTTCATTGTCTTACATGCTTCACTTAAGAAAAAGCTGATATCATTATGTCTTAACACAAAACTAAAAGGCATATCTATCATTATCTGCAAGACTTGGTGCTCACAGTATTTCCAAGTTTAGGAACCATTGTACATTCATGGACAATAAATGACAATTCTGAGAGATACTCATATTTTTAAAGACAGTAACTCTTGTTAATCGGAGTCAGTTAAAAAATCAGAAGACTCAGAGGAACATGCAGTATCAATATAATCCTAGATACAATTCCCGAATCTAGGAAGGAAATTTATATGCACAAATAGAAAGGAACTCTATGACCTTGGATACTCTTGATATAAGTAATTTCTTTATAGTTAAGTGGTCATAAATAAGTAAAATTACATTGATTACTCAAAAGTATGTTTTATATATAAGAGATTTTGTTCTTCCTGAAAATAACATCTTCAAGATATATTCTATAACTTTTTTTGAGAATCGTTATGAGCAAGAAACTTCTGTGGATCTCCCTGGATACATCTACACAGCAGTCTAATACCCAAGGCTCAGGAAACATTTCTGGAAATGCTGGTGAAGAGATTGTGGAAGCCATAAAATCACAGAGTATGCTGTGAGATTTTGCCTCTTGGTAACTTCAGGAGAAATACATGTAAGGTATCACCAACATTATTAACCAAATATGAACTGAACAGAGAAGACACCAAGAATGTGACAAAGTGAATATGGAAAGTCCACGAGGCCCTAGTTCTCCACAAAGAATTAAAGATATAGAGAAATTCTGGCAGAAGTAGAGGTACTACTCCGCGGGAAAGAGCACACCAATTGATTTCCTATGGCAAAATGATCAGCCCTCAAATAATAAAAGCAAGTAAAATTAAATGGATTTATCAGTTTGTATTGATGAATGTTCATGTATCCACAACACCTACATAAATAAAATGATACTATAGTCTGATGGTGGTGGCCTCTAATCCCAGCACTTGGGAGGCAGAAGCAGGAGGATCTCTTTGAGTTCATGTCCAGCCTGGTCTAGAAGAGCAAGTGGAGGACAGTCTCCAAAGATACAAAGAAACCCTATCTTGAAAAACCACAAAATAATAATGAAAAATAAAACATGAACTTGAAAAAGAATAAAGGTGGTTGTAGGGAGTATTCAAAGAAAGAAAAGTAGAGTAAATGCATTAATTAAAATATAAATCCATATATAAATAGAAAAAAATAAGTAGCTACCTTGGCTCATTAATACCTACAATTACCTATAAAATGACCTTGTAATGATTTATGTTCTTTCTAGAACTGTACAATATTGTCAGCCCCTGTCATCATGGATTACATAACCTGCAAATTCTACATTATATAAAACAGGAAACAAAATAAATTTCAAGTAATAGATTGCTGCTGTTCTTTGTTGACAAAAGATGAATTCTTTCCCATAAATAAACATACTGCCCCTCTTATCTGAGACCTAAGATGACAACAGGCCTATAACGAATCTCTTGGGCAGTCCTGTAGCTATGCCCCACCATTGCTGATTTGCATGTGCCCAGAGAACAGCCCACTGTACCGATAATTTCTTCATAGACAGATCCTACCCTGAGCTGGACTCAGCCTCAGACTTATCACACACAGACATGATGATCACCATACCACTTCTGGGGTTGCTGTTACTCTGGCTTTCAGGTAAGGGAGACAACACTGGATATCTATTCATTTGAGTGTGGTCAGTCCTTCATTGTTGCTGTGAAAGTTCTCTAAGCATAATTAATTGTGTGGAAAACTTGTTTTCAATTTCCAACTTCAGGTGCCAGATGCGACATCCAGATGACCCAGTCTCCAGACTCCCTTCCTGTGTCTCTGGGAGACAGTGTCACCATGACATGCCAGGCCAGTCAAAACATTGGCAATTATTTAGCATGGTATCAGCAGAAACCAGGGAATCCACCCAAGCTCCTGATCTATTATGCAAACAGCTTGGAAGATGGGGTCCCAACGAGGTTCAGTGGCAGTGGATTTGGCACACAGTTTTCTCTCAAGATCAGTGGCCTGAAGTCTGAAGATGTTGCAACATATTACTGTCAACAGTATAGCAGTGACCCACCCACAGTGATTCAAGTCATGACAAAAATCACCCAGGAAATGAGAAGTGAGAGCCCAGACTGAACAAATTGTTCCTTCTTGTTTCTGCAGCTGTTGATTCTGTTTATGAAGTTATTAAGGTCAATGTGATATTTTGTGCAGGGGTCAGAGGAATTTTTCTGACATAAATCTCTGTCCCCTTCCCAGACATGAACACTAAAATCAAAGGTCTTCTTTTCATTACCTCCATAAAATAATAGAAAAAAAAATGTTTTCCTGAGTAACAGAAAAATATGAACAGCTAAAATTCATCCAATATAGATGTTAACACATACATGCACACACACAATCATAAACATGCAATCACATGCAGCTGGGGTAATCTTTGCAAGGATATTATTATCTAACTATGTTACAATCAAACTATGTTAAAATCCCAAGGAAGAAGGCTCAAATGCTGGCTTATTGGTTAGGAGCAGTGGGTACTTTCCTTTAGGAGCTGGGTTTGATTTCCAACAGCCACATTAATGCCGGAAACTGAATGTAACAACACTTCAGAGGAATCAGAGATCCTCTTCTGGCCTCCAACGGCATTGTAGTAATATGGCACACAAACATATATAATGGTAAAAAACAATATACATAAAATAAAAATAAATAAGTTTTAAATATTTGAAAAACTCCAAAGGACTAGGATTTGGTCAAAATGGTACTGGAAACAGACTATTCTCAGAATCTATACTCTATTTTTTTTTTCTCAAAACAAGTTTTTCTGAGTACATGATTCTCAGTTATGGTGTGAAATCTCTTATCATGTGAATGGAAGGAAGGAGGTTTTTTTTTCTTTACCTGTTAGTTTCAATTCAATTCTTGCAAAAAGTGTAGGTGCCTTAGTTACTTTTCTATTGTTGTGACATGACAACACGACGAGTCTATTTATTAAAGAAATAATTCATTTTTGGGTCATTCATTTTTAGAATATTAGCCCAGGACCAACATTGTAGTAAGCATGGCATCAAGCAGAAAGGTAGTGCTCTGGAGCAGTAGGTAACTGTATACTTCTTTATCTGTAAGTAAGAGTTGGAGCAAGACAGAGGGGGAGCAAGATAACTGGGGATGGCTTGGGCTTTGGAAGTCTCAAAGCACACACTAAGTGACATACCTACTCCAAAAAGACACAACTTTTAATCTTTCATTAAACATGGGGAACAAGTTAAATGTGTGTATCTAGGAGCAATATTTTCATTTAAAGCACCATAGCAAATTTCAAGCCCCAAATTATAAAGAAAAGCAAAGATTAGATAAGAAAAACTTTAAGAAAAGACTGAGTCAAAATGGGCAGGTATGGGTAGGGGTAGCTTAACACACATGGACCGCACTGGGAAAGATTTGCAAGCACATTCCTTTCCAAATAAAACAGTTATCAACTAGGGCTATAATTTCATAAAGTTTCATTCACTCCACTCTCTAAACAAAGAAAACAATTCATTCCAATCTTGCCTTCATAAGAGCCTCAAGTATGGCCAAGTATATCAAGAAAGAGAGACCAAAATAGGAGTAGTGGACCAATCTAGGCTACAACTGATTTTGTGTAGTAAAAATAAAATTTGAAGAAAAAAAATGATGTCCTTGGAATGCTGAAGCATACATGGGAAGCCTATATATGGCAGTTTTGTTGAATTTGTCTATATTGGATGTCAAGGTCTTAATAGATGAGGAGAATTAACCAGGTCACTTTCTCAAGATTGCACCAGATCTCATTAAGATAGTTGTTAGTCACAGTGTGGTTTTTGGGAATGGAAGTCAGGACCTTAAGAACAGCAGGCTATGCCCTTAACTGCTGAGCTATATCTCCATTTTATGGAAAACATCTTATATAATGTCCTATTCATATGCATGGTTTATCATGCATATTATGACATTCAAATTCATCAGGGAAAAAGGACATTAACACTGAACAAAGCATTTCATTAAAAACAGACAACCAAATATATCAAAATTTTCAGCAACCAATACCACCTACTTTTGGATAAATTATATATTGAGCAATTTTTCTGCAGACTCTGCTGCCTGTGTCAGTGTTTTTTTTCCCTGTTCTTCATTTTGATTATGAATAGAATTCATTCTTACTTTACTATATGTGTGCTTCTTCCTTTCTTTGAATAAGACACCAAGACCCTAAGAGCCACAGGTACAAACAAATCACAGGAAATGTTAGTGAGGGCAGTGGAAAGAAGTAAACAAGGATGAAGGCAAAACAGTATTTGCTGCATCCAGAATTTTGAAATTTGAAATTTCGAACAAGCAAGTATTCTATTTGAGATTAGGAGGATGCAAAGAGGTGATATTTTAACAATGATATGATACAATTATATTGAGTTTGTGAAACAGAGGGAAAAGTTAACATGAATTAGCAAACTGTAGCTTTTCAATCCATATGTTTCCTTCCTACATGTTTCTGAGATATGGAGTCTTTTTTTGGAGTATCTATAAATATACAGTGCAGTATTTTTATCATTTGCTACCTCTTCCCACTTCAAGATCTCTCATGTCTTTTTACCACTTCCTTCAATATTCATGAAGTCAAAAGCACACCCAAGATATATACGCTTCTGAAGATGCCCATGATCATATCAGTATAGCAGCATATGGCAGTTGACTTCTGGATGACATCATGGGTCAATTTTGGAGAGGAAAGAACTTGAGACCTCACAGTTCAGAATGGATTTTGCTTCTGCTGTGCATATACATGTGTGTAGCTGCTATCTTTCTCTGGTGATTGGCATGGTATGAATGGGTGTAAAGAGATCCTCACGCCTGTAATGTAGTATGTACATGTCCTGGAAACATCTCATTCTCCTGGGAATTTTTATTATCCCTTAATATGAAGATGATTCCTTCCTAAGCTACATTGTCTAATTGATAATAATGTTAGTTTATACAGAGTTTTGATAAATAAAAATAAACCCAAGTATATGTTACACAGTTAATGCCTATGAATTTCACCTATGGAGCTGCATAGATCACAGCTCAAGTTAATGAATAAGAAAAACAATTTAGTCCCTTTAGCAAAGCTTGCATGATTTCCTTTAATGTTAATGCTGAAAGATGCAGTCACAGTTTTTGTGGTGCATCACCAACTAAAACAAGGCCTTAAAATAACTTCAGGTCAGATCAGATGTTTTGATGACAGCTTAGAAATAAAAAGCTCCAGAAAACACTCTGAAATTTACAAGAACAAATAGCTAAGGTCACAAATTCAAAGAAACCCAATTGTCACTAGCTCATAATTAGGGTTGGTTAATGATCAAGGTTATAACATTTTTGCCCTCAATCTCCTGAAATGAAAAAAAAAAAAGAAAAACTATTGGTGAGTGGGTCAGCACCCTACAGATTTATAGTTGTGCTGTCCATTTCTTTTTTTATGCATAAAAGTTTAGATTGGTACTTCTTTTAAGATTGCATGTAAGAGCCGGGCAATGGTGGTGCAAACCTTTAATCCCAGCACTCGGGAGGCAGAGGCAGGCGGGTCTCTGTGAATTCGAGACCATCCTGGTCTACAAGAGCTAGTACCAAGACAGACTCCAAAGCCACAGAGAAACCCTGTCTCAAAAAAAAAAAGATTGCATGTAAGATTATCCTTCAAGATAACTAATAGAGTGATTGGTCCTTTCTTTGTCACCACAACAAGCAGCCTGTCAATAAAAGAATACCTAGCTTACATCATGTTAGTCTACTAAAAATTGCTTGGGTATGAATGTATATGGGTAGTTGGGATAATTTGCTTTCACCTGGAAAAAGTAATATGTTTAATCATGTTAAGGGAAATGAAAAACATGCTGTTTTCTTTCTTTCTTTTTTACTTACATTCATTGTGATCATTTACATAAGAAACAGAATGCAACAACATCATAACTTTTATGTTGCCTGAAAGATTCTGCTTGGATATATAAACTGTGATGAGTAGAGCTTTACAAAAAACAGAAGATTTTCATCTGAATTCTATGCTCTCTGTTCCAATTTAACTCACATAAAAAAAGACATGGTATAAAAGACTTCACCTGGCTTTCTCTAATAGAGAATGCCCAAGGAATAACAGAAAAGTAAATCCTACTGTCAATTTTCCAAGACAGTCTACCTAAGGAGAACTTTTACTACACTAACACCCCTTCTTACATGCTCACATTCATATGGGTTAAATATAATCAATACACATTTGAAAATGTAAAAGTGGATGAATCCATAATCTAGTTTTCAGTTACTTTCTTTTTATACTGAGTACAAAAATGCTGTCATATGAAAAACTTTTCCACACTTAGGAATCAGGGGTTCACTTTAAGTTATGGGGATATATTAGTAAATCCTGGTATGGAATACAACTCTTGTGTCTTTAGATGTACTGTATTGTGATTAGTTTTCTAAGTCTTAGCCAGAGAGACTTTACTTCCTAGCAAGCCAATATGTATCTACTATACATGACAGACTACAGAAAACCAAAGCCATCTTTCATGCAGTGTGGTATCATTTTATAAACCCATAGGAATCCCTCAAAAGGGAAAGGATAGCTGCAATAAAACATAAAACTTCACATGAGTTTAGTTTGGTTTTGGCCTCAGGGTATCTGAACCTGTTGCCATTTATGTCGTTTCACAAAGTTTACATGAATTAGTTGTGGGCTCACAACTAGATAGAATAGACCCCTGGTAGAAATAATATGAGGCATTTCTGCAAATTATGTGATCATTGCTCTCAACCAGTCATCCAGGTGGATTTATTGGAACTTCAGAGATACAGGGATTGACAACCGGCTCTTAAAGAGGACCAATCTAGGAGCCATAAAGACTAGATGTGAATAAAAAGCAAAATAAGTGATAAGGGAAGAAATCCCCATTGATTGACCACTAAGGAAACAGTGTGACAGAAAAATCACAGATATCAAAGGACAAGTTACTTAGTAGCAAATCCAAAAGCTAACAAACAAATAAATGAAAAGGAGGTGATGTAAAAAAGAATATTGAACCTTCTGGAAACCATGGGTCACTGTGATATTTCAGGCGATGTTTGTTATAACTGCTTATATTTCA